GTGCTCCTGCTTATCTGGCAGCTTCAGCATTACCCAGAATGTGGAAGAACTGGGCTCCACAGCAGCCCCTCCACCCAGGGGCTCTGTGGTGAGGAGAAAACCCTCCTGGCTTGCAAAGGGTCTGGGTAAGGCAGAGCAATCACAGCTCCCAGCCTGAGGATCTCTTCCCAAGGCAGCCTCTGTGTTTTCCCTGCACCCCCAAAACTCACTGCTGCTCACCCCCTGGCCCCCCCTGGGGCTCAGCACCAGCTGAGCAGAGTTAGCAAGAAGCACAGGATTCACATCCAGATGCTCACTTCCTTGCAAACACCTAGGTTCACCTCCTCTGGTGTCAGCTCTGCCCCTCTGGTGTCAAACCCACTGTGAACGGGCCCAGTCCAAGAGCACAACTAAAATAATTGCTTGATACCCATACAAACATCTCAGCGAAGCTGAGGAACACCTCAAAAAGGTAAGAGCAGCAAACAGGATCCCACCTCCTCAGAATCCAACTCTGGCCCCACGTCAACTGCTGTCCTTCTGGTAGAAGGACATGATCCCAAACCTCTGCCAAGAAGGGCAGGACATCCCTCCTTTGGGCTCAGCTGAGGAATGTGGCACCCAAGAGCAGCAGGAATTGAAACCTAATGAGACATTCCCCTATAGCTCTTCTTCCTTAGGGCTCTGTTCCCCAGGGAGGTTGGGATATCAATCAGTGCAGCCTCACAGCCCTCATCTGCACCCTCATGGACCAGGGGACAAAGGGCAGCAGGACAGGAAGGCTCTGTTCAACCCTGGTCAGAGGCAGGAGAGCAGAGGCACATGTCCCCTCCCAGCACAAGGCAACCGGAGGGACCTACCTGCCCAAAGAGCGAGAGCTGCAGATATGAAGCCACCGCTGAAAACCGCAGCTCCCAGCATGGCATGGTTAATGTGACCCGACATCTCCTGCAGCAACCACTTTGGCTTCATCTGCTGCATTATGCAAGGCAGATGCCCTCAAGGCTCCAGGTTGCCTATCGGTGCTGTCTGTCTGTCCTGCCCTGCAGCATTGGGCATTGCAATGCAGCCACCCTGCTCATTGCCAGTGCCCAAAACCACTGGCAAAGGCCAGCTCCCACCACCACCAGGTCTTTGCACCACCATGACGGTGCACATACCCCTCAGCAGACCCTACCAGGACAGCCACCAGCAGGAGATAATACTTTAAACCACTGCAGAAAGACACGTTAACTCATCAGGTAAAGCCCCAGCTCCACTCGTTTTGGAGATTAGCGGTTTTGCATTGGAGGCAAAGAGTCCTGGTTTCCATCAGCTCTCCAGCAGAGATGTCAGCCTCGCAAGAATCTCTCTAACACACAAACCACTGCAAAAACTATACAACACAACCAACTGGCACAGAAGCTTGAAGAGACACTGTAAAATCGATTAGTTGTCAAAATCATCAGACCATAAAAGAAGCTCCAGCTGTGCTCCTCTTATTTGCATCCAGAAATGCAAGAGGCAGGGCTCTATTTAAAATTAATCCCTTCTTTTTTATTTGTTTACTAGATCCTAAGTTACTCTGGTTGACAATTAAGCCCATTATCCAACTCCTTCCTTTTCTACCGCCCCAGTGCCTTTTTTCATAGCCTATGAAGAAAATTAAGAAGAAAAAAAAAAATTGCAATAAGTACTATTTTAAAATGAAAAAATGCAAGTTTATAAAGAGCTCAAGGTGTTTGAACCATTCAACCTTCTGTTTTAAGACCCCTGCACAGGACTCACACAAACAATTCCTTTCAAATCAACAGCAATTTCAAGTCACCCCACTGCGTACGAGCTCAAAGTTAAGTGCTGGCCCAAATGTTCTGCCAGATCCTTGGCGTAAGTGTCGGAGGGCAAGAGAAAACAAAGATTTAAATTTTGGCTAGTGTACTTCTGCAAAATCATTGTCAGCCCATATTTTTCAGTTCATACAAAACCCAGCAGAGGAAATTTAAAACCATAACTAACTTGGAGGCGAGTAGTTCAGAAAAACTGCAGAAAAAACCCGTAATACAATGTAACTCACATGATTGTTCAATGCTAATCACTAAGCTGGATGCTTATAGTATCCCATTACAAACTGTGTCCTTTTGGTTCAGTTTTAAAACTGTCCCACAGTTTTTGCAAATGCTTTGGCAAAACCACCAAGAATTACCTGTTTTAATAGTTAAAATATTCCTTCACTGTAGATGCCTGCCTTACCAGAAGCTATTTGCTGTAGATGCTCTGTACAAGGGTACCCCAACCCTGGGTACCACAAGGAGACCACTGCAAACAACACGTTTTTGTAACTGGATACCATGGATGCCAAGAGCAAAACCTCAGCAAAGCCACGACCAACATCTTGATCTGAGACCTTAAGACCACATCCCAGTTTTATCTTTGCATTTGTTACCCTAAGAAACAAGAATTCATAAGCCCACCACAGAAATGCTCCCTTCCTTCATTTTCCATATTGAGGGGAAAAAAAAAAAAAAAAGGTATCAAGCAGGTAAACAAGGATTCTCCAAAGAAGGAGAAAGAAGTTGTCTGGTCGTATTCCCAGCCAAAACCAGGCCAACCTGCAGTTACTTCAGGTTGTTTTTTTTTAACTCATCTAGCTGAGTTCTGACCATCTCTCCAGCCTCTCCAGGCCCCTGTTCCCATGCCCAGTTACTCTTGCTGTGACCACTTCTTCTCTAACACCTCAGTGAGAAAGCTCTCACTAGTATCTCAGCTGGAGCAATACCCGTGACAACAAGCCCTTCTCATTCCCACTGCAATCATTTCTGCCTGTGTGCTAATTTGTAAGCTAGCCAAATAAAAGACAAACTTGGAGCTGGAAGTTGTTTTACTGTCATTTTTCTGTCCTTTGGGCAGGAGGAGCAGCGCCAACGCAGCACATCACCACCTTTCTCCATACATCCAGACAGCCAGCCTCCAAAGCACACAAAACTCCAGGCTTTTCCAAGATGACTGTATTTATACTGCTGTCTTACAGAGAAGAAATCCAGAAACTGTACTTTTGGGGGAAACAGGAGCAAAACACTGGATTCATGCCTTGTGCACAGCCACACCAAATAGCACCACACAGCTTCATGGCACACGGATAGGCATCACTGGTGGTACCAGTCCCAACCCATGGACACCCTTCTGCTCCCCAGTCCCCAAAGTCTCTTTTGTCTTTACCTGATTACAACTCCAGCCAACTTGTTAACACCACTATCATCAAGAACCTTTAACAAGTACCAGCGATCCCATAAATCTGCTTTTTATGGCATGGCAGAAGCCTAATTACACGATTAAATTCTGTCAAAAATTAAAGCCCACACACTTGCTCTAAAATTGAAATCAGCCCTTTTAGGTACTAAATAGAAGCAATGCTAATGTTTCAAAGACATGTTGGCAACACAGCTGAACTGGATTACGTTACTGATCCTAAACAAACCGAGGGCATTTCTTACTCTTCCTTTGAGTCCCTTTCCTTTATTTTCTCTATTTGCTAGTGTTCCAAGTACAGGCACTTTGATCCATGCCCTGAATTGTGACCATACAAGTCCCAAGCATTAATGAGCAATGCAGCTCAAATACCTATTAACTCCATATTACACATTCTTCTTCGCTGGAGTCCCCTGCCACTTTCTTCAGCTTAATACATTGTTGAACCTCACTACAGAGGTTCAGATATGTTTTCCTATGAGCCCTTTTATCTTTGTGACAACAGCTTTAATGAAGATTGAGCTTTTTAAATAGAAGTTACACATCACTTAATTTTTTAAAAAATTACCACTGTAAATGAAACACAACCTGTGTATAAGACGGGACAAGATCTGTACAAGATATGCACTATGATGGGAACCAAAATCTAAAGCAAGCACATCTAAGATATTTGGGGATTTTTTTAGAGAATGAGCATCATTTTAACAAAATGCAGTATGGCACATTAGAAGTGAAGGAAAGTTTGTGGCTACGAGTCCTATAAAAGTGCCCAGGAAGAGGTTTGTCACACCTAGGGAACAGCAATGATGCAGCGAAAACGGTCACATGAAAAATGACAGAGTACGTATCCCAAGAAAATGGAACTAAGGTGGGATACTGGCATTGCTTTGCTCTCCCAGATCACCACTAGTACTGTGCAACCACAAAAAGAAAACCTCAAACCCCAAGTGACTGCCCAGACATACCCTTGCTTTGGTCTTCAACATGGACGTATGCCTACAAAAAGGGAAACAGCACCTGACAAGGTCTAAAGGGCCTTTTTTAAAAAATAATCACATAAGCGATCTTTTACAGCTCAACAAGACAATGTTATCATTAGATACTACACTTTTAATTACATGCATATATGTAACAAATGGATGAACGCATATTATGTCAAACCCAGGCAGCACCCTTTTACATACCTGATCTGTGCCTCTTCCAAAACACTTGCATTAAGGAATGTTGTTCTTGATTAATTTGGGATATTATCTATCTCCACACAATAACTAAAAGAGGTTCCTCCATGCATTTGGGCCAAAAGGCCTTTCATCTCCTCTTCCTCCTGCTCTCAGAGCTAATACCAAGTGCAAGGAGTCAATAAATACCAAGCTCAGGAAGGCTGGGGTGGACCTAGCCTGCAGTAAGGAACCCGCATCATCCAGCCTCAGTGTCCCTGAGCACCCACGCCCTGGTGTCCAGACCAGCCGTGGGACCCAGGAGTGCTGTGCTTGGGGGGTGGATGGAGGCCGCCTTGGACGGCTAAACATCTCGAAGGAGGGGAAGGAGAGGAGGAAGGGAAAAAAAAACAAAACAAAACAAAACAAAAAAAAAAACCACACCACCACCAAAAAAAACCCCAAACCAAAACAAAACCAGAGATGGCTTTGTGCCTCATGTGGCTAAAGAGCTGCATTCTGGTGACTTATGAGCTTGCTCAGTGCTGCTGACAGGAGGAAAAGGCGCCAGCAGCAGGGAGCAGCCATGTTCCCTGAGCAGGGCTGGGGGCAGGCTCCCTCCAGGGAATTCATACTCACCTGGCGGTTTCATGTAATATTGCTCAATATCGGACATGTCCGTATGCAGCGCACAATCGAGATAGTGGAGGATAACTTTTCTACTGAAGTAGTACCTCATGCCCATCAGAAAGATGGGCAAACAGCAGGTCAGCAGGAAGGACTTGGTCACAACAAAGCATATTACTATGGAGATAAGGAAGAGAAATAAACGATACCTGTCAGAAAAGAGAATTTAGTGTTGATTTCGGAATACAAACTCATTACAAAAAAAAAAAAAAAAAACAACAAGCACAGACAAAATATACATTTGCAGTACACACACAATTCACGCTCTCGAGATTATTGTGTCAACTGACAGCACAACACACCGAAATAACCTCGGAGAAGTTTATGGGGTGCCTGGAGAGAGCCGGTGGGGAGGATGCTGCCATGCCACGGCGGGTCCCCCTGAACCCCCACAGCCCTGGAGAGAGGCTGGTGGGGACGCGGGGGGCCAGGCCCACCCCAGGCCCCACTTGGATTTCCCCGGTGAGGCCAAAACGTGGCCGGGGCGGAAAAGCCGTGCCGCGGGCACGCTGCTCCGCAGCCATGTGTGTGTCACTGCGGCATGCCTACTGCCATCGCGGGAGGCACCGGCTCCCAGGGAAGGCACCCTGCCCGCCTCGATGCCGGGGCGCTGCCGAAGACCCTGGGGGCTTCTGCGGATGCCCCCGAGATGGCGGCTCCCCCCGGCATGGCCCCTGCCTCCCAGAGCCACCAGCTGAGACCTCCCGCATCCCAACTGCCTGCTGGGGAGGGATGGGGGGGGGGGGGGGGTCCCCCTCCAGCACAGGGGCCCATCCTCCCCACTTGGCTGACACATGGGGGGTGCAACCTGTCTGCAACCACCAAGGGCTTGAGAAACCAGCCCAAGGCTTGCTCGAGGAGGGGGGAGGCATACATTATTAATACTTATTTGCAGGGGGGCATATTATGATTTGCACGGGGAGGGGGGGGGCACCTTGCAGGCGCTATGTTGGGCATGAAACTCTGGGAGGTGAGCCCCCCCCCCCCGCGGCTCAGCCCTGCTGCAGGGGTTACCCACCCCCCCTCCCCATGCAGGGGGGGGTTTGGGGGGGGGCGCTCCAGACCGTCTCCAGGCAACGCCGGCACGCGGCGCGCCCCCCCCCCCCCCCCCGGGCTGCGCGGGGGCGGTGCAGTGCGCGGTGCAAGGCGCGCACCGCTCCCCTTCACCGCACCCCCCCCACGCATACCCGCCCCAGGCCTAGAATAACTAGAAGGACGACTCTACCCTCACCCCCGCGCAACCTACGCGGCGATCACCTCCCCCCCACACCGCTCCCCATCCTTAAAATCCGCGCAAGGTCGCGCATCCCCCAGCGGCGCAAGGTTTCCCCCCCGCGGGTTCCATCTCTTCCCCCCACCCCCCCCCCCAATTCCCAGCCCCCCTGCCCCCGCCGCAGCGCTGCGGCTCCGCGGCCGCTCCGCACCGCGCGATGCTGCGGCGTTCCCCCGGCCGCACCGCCGCAGCGCGCCCGGGGCGGCGGGTCCCTGGCTCCTCCCGCCTCTCCGACCATTTTGTGAAGACCCAGGGAGGGGGGGAAAAAAAAAGAAAAAAAAAAAAAAAAAACAAAAACCAAAAAACAAAACCACCAAAAAAAAAAATAATAATAAAAACCCCACCAGACCGCGACCCCCTTCCCCCAAAAGGGAGCAGCTACTCACCCGCCAGCAGCCCGTAGAGCAGCTGAGTGAGGGGCTGCTGCTTCAGCCCCCTGAACGCCGTGTTGGGGATCCGCTCCATGATACCCTCGTAAAATATGCGGCGCACCACCTCCTGCTCCGAGGGGTGGAATTCACGGATATAGACATTGTCGCGCCTGGGGTCCGCTTTCGGGGAGCTGAGGGGAGGCGAGGGGGAGGAAGGGGAGCCCGCCAAAGAGGGCCACATCTGGGAGGAAGAAACAATGATCGTGTCTTTTTTGGATCCCGGGATTGATTCATGATCTTCCGCCACAATCTTGGTCTCACAAACCATCTTGGGAGACAGACAATGCATGCAAACCGGCCGCGGGGAGGGGGCAGAGGAGAAAAACGGGACGGGGGTGTGTAAAAAAAAAAAAAAAAAAAAAAAAATTAAAAAATACAATTATGGAAAAAAAAAAAAAAAAAAAAAAAAAGGAAAAGGGGAGGGGGAAGGAGCGGGACGCGGAGCAGGGACGGAGACCCGCCAAGCAGCAGCGGCGGCTGCGCGGGGCGCGGAGCAGCGCGGCCGGGCGGGACAAGAGAAAGGACCTCCGCTGCATTTTGGAGAGGCATTTATAGGGCGGGGGGGGGCCGCGGGTCCCCGGGGTCCTAGCGCCCCCCGCATTGGCTGCGCGGGGTCGCCATGTGATCGGGGGGGGCGGGACGCCCCCCCCCTCCCCATCCCTGCACCGCCCCTTGCAAATTACTACGGCGCGTCCGTGCGCGGGGGGCGGCGGCGGGCCGGTTTCCTACCGGGGGCTCGCACATCCCTGCCCGCGTACAGCGCGGCGTGGGGGGGCTGGAGGCGGTGGGGGTGACGGTGTTAATTCATTCATTTCCAGCGAAAGCACCGTACGCCCGGCTGCTTTCTGGAACAGTCGCTGCGGGTGCGCGGCGCTGCGCGGAGCGGAGCCGCGGGTGGGGGGGGGGGGGCGGCGTCCCCCGCACCGCACCGCGTCCCGGCGGGCTGCGGCGTGGGCTGCTCCGTGGTGAGTCATTCACCGCGGCGGCGCATCCCCAGCGCGGCGCTCCGCGGGGCGCGGAGGTGCTCCCCCGCCCCAGCCACCCTGCGCGGGAACGCTCTGCGGGTGGGGTGCGGCCACGCTGCCCCCAGCGCCTCCCGAGCTCAAATGAATCCCTCTCCCCGTGTATCAGCTCCACACCCCCTCCCCACGGTCGGTAACTTTTCATCCCGTGCCCACGCCGCTGCGCGTTGCGGGGAGCGCGGCCCGCTCCACCGCCTCCGCGCCCCTCCGCGGGGCGGGGAAAAAAAAAAAAAAAAAAAGCGGGGGGAGGGTGGGGTGCGCAGGGAGGAAGACGGGCTCCTCCTTTTCGCAGGACCCGAAAAGCTTCGGCCTCTCCCGGTTGGAACCGGCCGGCATCTGCCCGAAGCATGCGCCGTGCACGGCCGGTGCAGGGACGGGGCGGCGGCGCGGTGATTCTGGGCGGGGAGGGGCGGGGGGGGGGGGGGGGTGCCCCGGACCCCCCCGCCTTTCCCCCGCCGGCCCGGGGCTGCAGGGCTGCGCCGGCGCCCCCGCACCCTCCCGCGAGGTGCAACCCCCGGGAGCTTCAGTTGTGCCTCCCCCCTGGCAGGCGACACCCGCGCAGCCACCGCGGCGGGGTGCAGCTGTGCCTCCCCCACAGCTTCACCCCTGCACCCCTCTGGGAGAGGCACCCCCCTGCCAGCTTCAGCTGTGCCTCCGCCTGCAAGGCGCACCCCTGCACACCCCCCCGGTCCCTCATGAAAGTTTCATCTGTGCCTTTTCCTCCTGCAAGGTGCACCCGTGCATCCCCCTGCCAGGAGGCACCTTTGCACCCACCCGGCTTTGAGTTACATCCCTGCAAGGTGCACGTGCCCCTGTGAGGTGCACCCATGCCCCCCCCTGCAAGCTTCATCCCTGCACCCCCCCCCAGGAGGTGCACCCGGCTGTCAGCGAGTGCCACCGTGTTGCTGGCACCTTGCAGGATTTGCTGCCCTGGGAGCTCATGGGGCACGTTTTGGTCCTCAGGAAGATGCACAGTGACTGGTTCTTTGCTTCAAGCTAAAGCTTGATTTCACCACGATGACTTCATTGTGGTTTCATTGCTTCACTTTTCTATTAAAAATTGTTCAGGAGTAAGAGAGATGAGAGAGGGAAGGATTAGGTAAGGGCTTGGAAACCTTCCCACCCAGGGGAGTGGTGCCAGCACCCCACAGGCTCGCGCTGCGTCGGGTGCCCCTGTGAGAAGCTCTTCCTCGAGTGGCTGTGGGACCTGGTCGTGGGCAGACACTGCAGCGCTGCCGGCCTGCTCGGAGGGGCAGGAGCCTTGCTGGCAGCAGGCTCAAGTGCCTGCAGAGTTCCCATTTTGGACGAGTATCTTCTGCAACTGCAGCCAGAGCAACCCCCGGCTCCCAAAGCCCATGACTGCCTGAACTGGAGATCAAAATGTACAATTATAAAAGATGGCACAGTGCAGTTATGACGGTGGTCTTGCTGCTCAGTGGATGGGTTAGCCAAAAGAGCAACATCTCCTGTCTGAGAGTGGAGCCCCCCATGGGAAGGAGAACCCCCCACAAGGAGAGGCGAGACATACGGCATCCCCACATCCCCCCGTCACTCCTCACCTCAGCAAGGATCAGTTGGACTCCTGCACTCGGGAGATACCTGGCAGCCCCAAATTCACCAACGCAAAGGCAAAGAGTCTGTGGATGGGGGGGGAAAAAAAAAAAAAAAAATCAGGGCAGTGTTTGCCTTTGAATTCTGAAAGCTTCGGGCCAAAGATAGGAGGTTGCTGTTTCAAAAATATAATTAAAATTACTCTTAGTTTCCATATGCCTGGGTTAAGCAGGCATTTATTTTTGTTTGATCCTTTCTAGTCAGATGCATTGCTTATTTATGAAACAACTACAGTAATAAAAACAACCCATTTCTTAACCAAAAAAAAAAAAAAAAACAAAAAAAAAAACAACCGGAACAACAAACCCACTGCAGTTATACAACAGCCAGAGGAGCTCCCAATTCCAGTCCCAGGCTATGGACCTGAGTGTTTGCAGATGAGTTCTCTTTAGAAAGGCACTAAACACTTGTTTACTATTTATGCTGCCACATTTGAGCATCATATGAACAGTAATTAATACCCCCTATTCCCCCGAGGTGAGGGGAGACCGTCAGCCTCGGCCGCAGCGAGGGAACTGAGGCACAGAGGAACGCAGTGATTTATGCACCATCATGCAGTAACTCAAAGAAGACACAGGCACCCGACCAGGTTTCCCAAGTCCTTCCTTGCTGTCTGAATGCCAAACTTTGCCTTTCTTATTGCAAAGCCAAGATTTCAGCTTTCTCAGTAAATGGGAGCGAAGGGGAGGCTCTGGGGGTGCTGCTGCACGGTGGGGAGGAGGGCTGGGGAAGGAGCAGGCAGCTGTGACTGATCGAAGCAAATGTCAGTGAAAATCAAGGGCCTCGCTGAAATCAATTGCAAAAGCCAGTCAGGTTCGCAGACAGCACGTTTGGGCCCCTGGAATAAAAAGGATATTGTTAACAGCAGCTTGCTGGCAAGGCAACTGCTCTGCCAGGAGCTTTCAGTCTTTAAGAACGCAGTTGTCATCCCAAATCACTGAGGATTTTGCTCTTGGGTTTATTCCCGCTCCTCCAGGACCTGAGGGTAAATCTCCCACATGCCATGACTGACTGGTGAATCTCATGGATAGAACTAATTTAATTAAGATGGGCAGTTTAGAGTTTGAATGTCATGCCAGTGCTCTCACTGCTCAGTGTAAAGAAGGATCTTGTATAGATGTCTGATCCATTGGTATGGCCAGGAAAAAAAAAACTGAGATTACCAGGGCAGATTGTACAACTATTGGGGCTGAGGACATCTGAGTATTTCAGTAAGAAACGCTTTGCCCTCAGCAGGTCTGCTTTAGACTGCCTTTGTTTTGGATTAGCACATCAAATCAGTAAGCCTTGGAATCATTATCCATCCTCCCAAAACTGCAGCCCTCATCCTGGGTTGGGGGGAATCAATCCCCTTTATGGGTTGTAGGAAGCGCCCAGCAGACGTACAACAGAATTACCACTTTCCCTGCTGACAAGCTCACACTCCAGTCTCGGTCTGAAATTTTAGGGTTTCTATACCAACCCTGAGTTTTGAATGACTTGAAACATCTTCTTCCAAATAGATTTTGCAGTAACTCTTGAAGCAATGAGAGCTGTGTGAACTGCAAACAGAGCAAACAATTTGGGATGAGCAGTTACTCATGCAAAGCATCTATACCTAAGGAGTGGGGAACGCCAAGGCAGGTCCCCTGCAAACACTGACCCACTGCTCAGCATCTGCTGGACAAGGAGAGGTGGTGCTGGCTCTGTCTTTCTTTTGCAGAAGCTACAAGCAGCCATAATCCTTTGCTCATCACAGGCTGTATCAATCAACCTCAGCAATTAACTGGTCGACAGCAAAACCTGCCCCAGGTTATATTAATGCAGCGATTCCAGAACGGCTCATCCCATCAGGATGAGGCTGTCTGGCAGGGCTGGCTCCCACCCTGTCCTTTGCAATGTCTTCATCACTAATTGAGGAAGGAAGGTAACCAGGTTAAAAGCTCTTCTCAACTACCTCCAGGTCCTCCTCCAACCTGGACCTTGGTCATTTCAGCTGTTTTTTCCACGCTTGACCCGAGATGCCCGGAAGGGGCTGAGGCCCCTCAGGGCTGCTGGCTGCTTGGCGGCAGCAGCCTCCCACCCTCCCGCTTTGCTGGGCTGGGAAAAAAGTAAAAGCCTCTCTGTTGACTGCAGATGTGCATATGAATGTGAGGCATTTGCCTAATAAATATCTTCCTAAAGGGGGATTAATTAGCATCCTAAGATTTGCTCTCACTGCACTCTCTCTGCAGCAGCTCTGCAGCCGCTTCTGTTAGGGGCACTTATGTCCCACTGAGAGCGTGTTGCTGGCCCCTGTCCTGACGCACAGACTCCCAAGGCCGAGGATTTGCAAATCTTTTGCTCAGGAGCCATCACCAGCTGTGGCACCCATGCTGTGTGAGCAGTTGGCAGTGACCACGCACACATCCCAGTTTCCCCAGTCCTGCCATACACCATGACCTGTTGCAGCTCCCTTCTTCCGTGGCTGTCTGGGTGCCACAAATAATAAGTCACTATAAAACCTGATGTGCCAAATTATTTCCAACTCGTAAAACTGCATGAATCGGTAACCAGGGGCCAGAGGCAGGATCCACTGACAGACGTAGACCTCTGCCAGGTGGACCTTGGTGCTGGAGTTGGCTGCCCTCCGCTTCGGGCACAGCAAAGGGGGGAAAACCAGCCTCTTCAGAGGCATGGAGCCTCCCGACCCAACATGGACCTCTAAAATAGATCAGATGAATCATGTGCTAAAAGTGGTTGGGTTTGTCTATAAAGGGAGTGCAGAGTGACTAGCTTGGCTGTGGAAGTCTCCCTGGGGGATATCTAAAGATGAATCTCTTCCTACAACTTTTTTGGATTGAAAGAATTTTGTGGGTTGTGAATAAAATACAAACATTTCCTAAACAGTGTGCGTAACCACAACCGGCTTTATCCCCTTCTGAATGGGGATTTTGGAACTTGTGTGTACATTTAATGTACAGTAACATCTTTGTCAAAGAAACTCCACTCCAGATCACAGAAACATTAAAATCTAAACTGTGCAGCAATTATTTGGAGATTTATCTAGAGCATCTCAGTGCAACCATGAGG